GATTCGAAGCTGATGGTATTTCTGGGGTATACAAGATATGTGAACTGTTGTGACAGAATATCTTGGGTAGGCTAGCTTGTTGTGGACCAAAACTTGAAGGATACAAAGGGTCGGCCACTTCTTGTTGGCTTGTAGTTTCTTCTATTCTTTTTCCCTTGTTTAGCTTATTAAGAGCATCTAGAATCTTGCTCAACTTGTTCTCAATCTTTTCCTATGTTTTTCTCAGCTTTTTAAATCTGTGCTTGCTCCATTTGTCTAGCTCTAGCTCTTGTGTTATATCGATGGATAGGGTTCTCGTTAGATGGAGCTATCTTGAACCTTGAATACCATATCTTAGAATTAACAAATTTATATGACTATCTCATGGTTACTTTGTTAAGTGTAAATGAATGAGAATACAATGAATGAAAATGCATGTATGCAAAGAACATTTGCCTTAAGACGATGCTTAACTAAAAGATTTCATTCATTCCAAATAACTTTTATTTACATTGAGTTTATCATCCTAGAGTTATAACTATAAAATCGTTTGATCTGCTCATACTGGGCTCTGGCTTCCTCGATAAAGTTTAATAGACACTGCTCATGTTCTCCTACAAGGGCCACCACTTATTTCAATACCTCTGCCTCTTCTACCATCTCTCTTATCTTGCATACCCCTTTACAAATTTAGGTCATTAGGTGTTCAATGTATTTTTATCTTCCTAAGTTCTCTCTTTTACCACACCAGACTTGGTATGATAACTCTCTATGCTCTCTAACTAATGCAATAATATGGTCTTCTTGTTCATTCAACTTTTGTCTTAACCTACTTAGGTAGCTATTCAACATGTTATTCTCTGTTTGTACTTGGGTACTTTTTTCTTCCAATTCAGTATATTCTTATTTCAATCTTGCATTCTCTTCAGTCAACTTAATAATTATTATCTCTTTGGCCCTTTCTTTTACACATAACCTTTTATGTTCTTGGTGTAGCTCTGCTAGGTCTTTAACAGCTATATCATATTCTCTAGCAATCTTACAAACTCTAGCTTCATGTCTTTTAGCTCTATCTTTCCATTGATATTTTTCTTCTCGAAGCTTCTGGATTTCTTGCTTTAACTTATCTTTTTTAGACTCAAATTCTTTTGTTGCAAGCTCTAATTCTGATAGTGTCTCTTCAAGCTTTCCTGCTATTGGCGGTTGAAAGCTTTCATAAGTGAATATCATTTTCTATCTTCGTCTTGCTCTCCAAAGCAAATACCCTAGAGTGACTTTATCAGTGAATGGTCCAAAACTCACTCTACGAGGATTTTTTCATGCTTTAATCACCTCATTCATCTTCCGAAATGCTTTTGGCTCACTATAAGAAAAATTTGATTGATGAAGCCTGTGGGTCATAGGAGTGAATTATTCTGCCCCAAACTGTCTTTTTATTAGAAGTGACGCATAACTTGTTACCCCCCATAAACCCAGAAGTGGGACCACAATATTATCTCCACACTGATATAGTATAGGTTCACAATTCATCCATGCGACCAATCACCTTACTTTGGCACTTGTTAGTTCTTGTAAGAAAACTATCTATTTTTTTTTTACTTTTGTTCTGACCGCCCACTTTCACAGAATTCTTTGATCAGAGCTCGATTACGGACATAAAGCTTCGAGAAAGCACATTTTCTCTATTCGAAATGGCTTTTTATCCATAAGTATAATAACTGTATGTAGCCTATAAAACGCTTTCCATTCTGATAATAGTAACTCAACAATCTGATAGACTTTGCTAATATTACGATTGAAGGGTTACAACCATTGATCACACTCTCGAAGAAATCAATCATCGCTATTTCAATATAACCCAAAACCTTTGAAAATATCACCATTCAGTATAGCTAAGGCAAATACATCTAGCCCCCGTTCTTCGTTGGCATGTTGCACTAGAAACTCATGAAAGAACTTCTAAGATAGGCAAACCTGTTCTTGTTTCTTCTTTGTATGAGAATTCACAACTTTTTTGTCTATCCTCACTAGTCGAGCCAAATCTTTATGAAATCTTAACTTGTATTTTTTTACATATATCTTATCAGGAGCCTTGAGGTGTAAACCTAACAAAGTCGAATATTCTTCGATGGTTGGTGTCATATCAACTTCATTGAAATAAAACACTTATATGCAGGATCCTAGAATTACGCTGCAGCTCTGATTAATTGATTATCGACAACTACTGTGAAAAGGTGTGCTATATGCCTGTGTCTCTAACAAAACTTCTATTGTCTAGCTGGGCTCATCTTCTTCCATATATCAACCAATTCTTTTAGATTATTTTGTTTGAGGAGGATAGATGTTTTTGAGACAGAGTAGAATCATAACCGATTGGTAAACAATCCCTCATCTTTAGTTGAATCCTTTCTGACTGGACTTTTACTTCATCAGGTGGCTCACAAAGAGATAATACAGATGAGGAGCAAACTAATCGTTTTACGAAATCTATGATAAACTTTTTGTTGAAGGCCATCTTTCAAGCAAATGTTCTTTATGCAACTTTATGATATGAGCATGAACCAATGCAAAAGAATGAGAGAAATGGTTAGTATGCCAAAAAAAAGAAATAAATAAATAACTAAGTAAATTAAAACATCACATAGAATAAGAAGAATGAACCCTATGCTTTTGGTCAATTCTAAAAGGGAAAGATGATGGCCCTATCTATAGGTTAGGCATTTATAAGGTTCATTATATGTGGTTTGAGGTTAAAATCTAAAGGTTCCCAAATTGCTCCTTACATCATTGTCCATCACAGACTAGTAACGCACATGAATCCTCACCCATTACAGGCTACAAGTGAAAAATGTTCAATTTGAGTGAGAGTATTTTGCTAGCTACTGCGGAGGCATTAAACCTCACGAAAGCAATAGGTACTTTACTCCCTCCTAGAAGGACGGAGCTTGGGTATAGAGCTCATGTTATGCATATGCATATGAATGACATAATTAATAAAGTAAATAAACATGAATGAATAAAAAATCTATACAAAAGGTTCAATTTTATTAGGCTTTTGGATAACACAAATTTATTTGCTGGCCTGACTCTCAGATTGTCTCCAGTGGAGTCGTCAAACTGTCATAACGTCTAGATTTGAAGATCTATTGCTAGACATTGACTGGAAGGAGTTGCCACCAATCTTTTTTTATCTTGGTGCGATTGGTCACCTAAGGAATCTATCATTTTAAGGAACACCCAACCCTAAGGGTCCTTAAAAGAATAGGTTCAGGTCTACTAACCAGAACAGGATTCGAGAGTACGATTACGTGTGAGAAAGGTTGTAGCACGCTCACAACGCCCATCGAAAGATGGTATCAACTTAATTTTGTGTTATCCAATAAGCCTTAAAAATTTACCCAGTAATTAATTATTGAAAATTATTCTCAATTGACTCTAATACTTTTAGTAAAAAATTGAAAAAATTTCCTTACCTCAAGAGTATGCAATGAGACTACTGTTTCACTTGCAGAGGCTCCATCGTTAGATTATTTAACATTAAAGAAAATTCAAGAAACAAAAAGGAAAAGAAATTAAAAAAATGATTTAGCTTAGATATAAATAATTTTCTCTTCAAAAACTCATTACTTTTGTACAAGAAAAATTAATACTTTCAACTTTTCCCCAAAATATTTTTCTAAAACTTTAATTTCGAGGAAAATTGATACTTTCAACTTTTTCTCAAAAAACCTTTTTTTTAGAAAATTATTTTCAAAGAAAATTGATACTTTCAACTTTTTCTCAAAAATATTTTTTAGAAAACTTATTTTCAAGAAAAATTTCTTCGAAAATATTTTTTAGAAAACTTACTTTCAAGGAAAATTGATACTTTCAACTTTTTCTCAATAATATTTTTTTCTTTTTTTTGGAATTTTATTTAAAGAATATCATTTTAAAAAATAAAATAAAAATAAAATAAAATAAGAAATATTAAATAATTCTAATCTAATCAATAAACAATAATAATAATAATAATAATAAAACAATAAAATAAGAAAAAAAAACTTTTGGAACGACTTGGCTCAAAATAGAAAAGGTGGCTCAAAGACAAGGCTTGGGAAGTCGGCTCGGCTCCAAGGATTAGCTAGCACGTGGGTTAACGAATCGGGTCGCGATCGGGTCGGGTTAGCCCAAACAAAAACACGCGGATCCTGATAACATACTAACACTAAAACGATATCGTTTTGCGCAGGTATAAAAGGCAAAGAGTGGATTTTTTCTTCAGATGCGCCTTCATCCTTCTCTCTCTTCCCCTCAACTTTCTCCTCTTTCTCTCTACCCGAAGAACACAACCTAGCAACCTATTGAATTTCCATCGGATTCTGGAAAATAACGTTGAAAACTTCAAAGTTGGCTAGAAAACTCGTCGAAAAATTCAAGGTTTGCTGAAAAATCTTGCCGGATTTTGGAAATTTTTTGAAAATTTTCCAGAAAAAAATTCAAAAATTCTAAAAAATTTCCCACAAATTCCTAAAGTTGTATCTAACGCACCATAACCTTTTTAGCTTCTGTTTTCTCTCTCTTCTTTTCGTCTGTCTGTGTGTTTTCGTTCGTTTTCTATGGATCTATTTATAGGGATTAATCAGAAGAGTTTCTGATCAATCCCAATTCCCTCTTGGATTGAGATTCAATTCTTGAATCCAATCTGGACTCTGATTGAATCTTAAATTCGCAGTAAAATTCTCACTTTTTGATCAATATCTTTTAATCCCAACAAAAAAAATAGATAAATAATAAATATATATATATATACTAATAGATAAAATAATAGATAATAGTTAACAATAAAAATTTATATACATTAATAGATAAATAATAATATATATATATTAATAGATAAAAATATATATATTAATAAATAATAATAATAATAGCAATAAATAAATAAATAAGATACAAAATAAAAATACAAAATTGACTTACCCATTTGAATTAGGCTTAATTAATTCGGATCTGAATCAAATTGAGTATTTACAGTAAAAATTGAAGAAGTTTTGTTGGTTTTGTCCCAACAAATAATCTCTTCTTTCCCACCAGCATCGATGGCACAAAAAAAGCCATTTCCTCCAAAAGCCGCGGCGATTGGACCTACTGATCCCTAGCCAGAAGCTGTCACAAATAGAAAGGGAGAAAGAACAATGAGGAGGAAAGAGATGGGTGTTGGAAAGTAGAATTTTTGGGTTGGCATGTGTTTTGGTTTATTGGTCTTTTGTAAGTGAATTTTGGTTCAAGGGAGGAGTTTGAGGGTGGTGTTGAAATTGTGAGGAATGGAGGATTGGTTTGAACCCATTTTTTATTAAGTAGTTTTTTGGAAAGTGAGTGAGGGGATGTGATGCAGATTCAGATTTCCGACAGTTATAAGTCAAAAGTTGGACATGTTTGACCACTGGGAGTAGTTATTTCAGTGTTAACTGAAATATAAAATTCATTGGGCCAGCTGCCATGCGGGTAACTGGTTTAACATTTTCTTTTCTTGTCCTTTTAACTTTTTTTTTTTAAGAAAAAAAAAAGGTGAAAAATTCTTTATACAAAAATTTAATATTCATTTAAATTTTTAATATTTTATTATAATTAATTAAAAATATGAATTTTTTTGAATAAATTAACTTTTAAATATTTATTTATATTACAGTCGAGTTTTTAATTAAACAAAAATAAATATTAATAGTTAATCAATTTTTAAAATTAAATATTTGAAAACTTAATTGATTATAATAAAATAATAAAAATTAAAATAATTATTAAATTTTTATTAAAATTTTTTATATTTTTATATTTTTTTTATTTAACGTTAAAAATTTTTTGAATTTTATGTGATACATTGTTTTTATTCAATCCAACAAACTTATTGAATTCGTTTGGAATTAAATCTCCAAAACTAATCGATCGAATAAGGTTTTTTTTAATAATATCCAAGCATCATAATAATAATGATAAGTTCATTCAAGCTTGCGTCATTTGATTTAATTATACCCATGTTGCTAAATGTTTCATCAAATTTTCATCTTTTTGGCTAATGTTGATGTTTCCCCAAATGATCAGATTCTAAAATTACATTCTCAACCTAAAATCATTTCTGCAAAAAGGCTTTCCTTACCCAACAAATGACTTTCTGTTTGACTGACTTGAATCTTAAAATACAGAAAGTAGGTATGCTGCACAAGAAAACAAAAATGTCAGCATGATGTAGTTTTGATTGGAATCCAAAGGGAGTATCAGATACCATATCTGCACTCAACTTCAAATTCTTACAGTACAAGTCTATCAAAGTTCAACCCCAAGTTGTTCCTTTTGGGAACAAATTTTGGAAGATTTGGAAGTAAGAATTTGGCATGGACCCCCTGCCAAAACACAAACCTGGAATGATCCAAAAGCTAATATTGTTCTTGTTGCTGTTAAAATTGCAATCTGGTAAGAAATATGCATGGAAGGATTTGTTTTTAGCCTATATTTGCATTCCATCAGGTAATCCAGGAAAACTGTAGATTGATTGAAAGCATGGGAAGAGAATGAAATGACAAAGAAAGCTTGAAAACAAAACAGGTTGTTTGTAACGGGGAAAACGCCAGGTAATGTAGGCCCATTTGGTTCTGGTTATTTGTCTCCATGTCGCCTGATCAACCAAATTGAAGAATTAAAAAAAAATGAAACACAATTGTCATCTTTCTAATGGTAGGTTTTGTTCTCCATCTACAGTCAAACAAGAATCAAATCATTTAAGAACGTAATCAGCAGCAACTTTTTGCCCCTAAACAGACAGCGAAAAGGAATTAAAACCTTGCAAGAGTTTCATAATTTGGTTAATAAGGAGATACTAACAAACCAAAATTTAGAATCGGATTATAGTCACTAATTTTGATTAATTAATTTTTTTATATAGTTTAATATTAATTAATATTAAAAAGAAGAAAAAAAAAGTCAAAAAAAGTCTTGGATTTCAACTCTGGCAGCCGAAATCAAGCTGTCAGAGTAGTCCAAAATTTTTTTTGACATTAACTAACATGGCAGCATAAAATCTGATGATCAAAAGTCACCAGATAGACACCCAAATTTTTCACAATAGAATCTCAGAAGATCTGGGATCTTAGATTTCAGAAACTCTATAAATATAGCTAATCTTTGCAAGGAACAAGACACACAGAGAACAAGGAAAAAAGTGGAATACACAATAAAAAAAATCACATTCCTCTTTGAGAAACCAACAGAAAACAAAAAAAAAAATTTTCGAGAATAAAATTTGAGATTTAGGAAGTTTGAGATTTTTTTAAAAAAAAATCTGGGCTTAGAAAAGCGTTTAGAAAGCAAAAAGAATCATTTGGGGAATTTTTGAGAATTTTTGAAAATTTTTTTGAGTCATCGAAAAATGGAAAAGTTTGAATTTTTTGACAATCATTGAATTTTTCGACATCGAAATTTGAAAAAGTTTAAATTTTTCGGTGACCGTTGAATTTTTTGACCACTGAAATCTGGGGATCTTTGAATTTTTCGACGCCGTTGAAGTTTTCGATCACCGGTGCACGGTGACGATCGATCGAAAATTGGGTTATCATGGCGGCTGGTGAGGGTACTGTGATTTTAGAGATAGGGGCTCTGGGGTAGAGAAAGAGAGGAGAAATAAAAAATTAAAAAAAAAACTTAAACAGGCATTTTATAGGCCTTTCAAAACGACGTCGTTTTTGGCGTCTGAACTTGACCCGACCTGCGTAGGATCTTCGCATCGACCCGCGGGCCAACCCGACCCGTTTCGCAGGTTTTTCTTTTTTTTTTTTTTCGTTTTGATTTTGATTTTTTTATATTATTTTTATGCTTTTTTAATATAATATTATTTTATTATTACTGTTATTTTATATTATTACTAGTAATATTTTTATTTTTTAAAAAACAATTAAATAAATAGAATAAAAATAAAATTGAAATAAAATAAAAACCTAAAAAAAATAAATAAAAAATTTAATAATAATAACTACTTAAAATAAATAAAATTTTATTACAAGCAAAAATATTATTTAAATTTCACCAAAGTGTTGGGATAATTTAAAAAATTATTTTTGCTAAATAAATAATAATAAAATAAAAAATAAATTGTTTAAATGAATCTTTTAAATGCAATTTTTAGAGAAAGCTAAAAGAGTTTAATTTTTTTTAATTATTGCAAGTAAAAATAATTTTTTGAATTTCACCATAGAGTTGGAATAATTCAAAATTGTTTTTACTAAAACAAAGATTGATTTAAACAATGTAAAGCAATAATAAAAAAATAATAAAGAATGAAATTAATAATAATTTATATCTTGAATTTTTTAAAAATATATATATATATAGAAAATTGAAAGAGTTCGATTTTCTTTAAACAAGATATTAATATTTAGATTTCACTGGTGAGTCGGATAATCTAAATTTTCTCTTATAAAAAATATTAAAGAATAAATAATACAAATTTTAAAATAACCATAATATTTAAATTCCACCGAAGAGTCGGGATAATCTTAAAATTTGTTATAAATTTTGAGAACTCACCAAAGAGTCGAGATGTTCCTAAAATCTTTTTTTAAAACAAATAATTAAAATATCTTATAACGAAGTTTCAAAAATTTTACGAATGGTCAACTTTCTCGAAATACTTTTTAAATAGTGATTTTCTATAAATTCCACCAAAGCGTTAGGGAATTTATAGAATACGAAATTGTAGACACCCAATTTGGTCTAGGCCAGGATCAATTAGGCCTGGTCCAAATGGGTAGGCCCATTTTATTTTTTATTATTTATTTATTTATTTATTATTACTATTTATTAATATATTATTATTATTTATTTGTTGATATATATTTTATTATTATTTATTCATTATCATTATTATTTATCTATTAATATATTATCTTTATTTGTTTATTTTTTCTTTTCTTTTTCTTCTTTTCTTCTTTCTTTTTTCTGCTTACCCGATTGGAATTGGATTAGGATGAAAACTGAGATTTTGAAGTGAATTTGGGGGTGATAGAGTTGTGATTGAATTCAAAAATTGAATCCAAATCCCAGAGGAAATAGGGATTGATCAGAATCCTATAAATAGGTGCTGGAATAGAACATAATGGGACATACAGAGAAGAAACAGAAGTTAAAAAAGGGTTTTGGTGCGTTAGAACAGCACTAAGAATCAGTGAAAATTTTTTTTGAATTTTTTGATGATTTTTTTCTAGAAATTTTTGAAAATTTTCCAAATTTCGATTGAATTTTCCTGCGATGTTTGAATTTTTCGGTCAGCTAATCAATTTCTAGCGATCATTTTCAAAAACTGACCAACTTTTCGACAAACTTTCGATAAAAAACTCAGATTCTTAGGACATTTTCCTGAATCCGACGAGATTCAACTGAAGTTTTTTGTTGGTTTAGAGAGGGAGGAGAAAAGGAAAGGAAGAGAAAGAGAGGGGAGGAGAGATCTGCTGAAAAAACAAAAGGGATAGCCTTTTATACTCGCTGAAAACGATGTCGTTTTGGGGTTACTGTTCCCAGAGGATCCGTGTGTTTTGAAATCGGGCGACCCGACCCGAGCGCTGACTCGCGTGTGACCCGAGTGCTATCCAACCCCTGGAGTCGAGTCGATGCCTCAAGCCGCGTCTTCAAGCCGTCCTTTCTTTCTTAAACCGAGCCGAGCCGCTAAGCCTAGCTGTTCTCAGGTTTTTTTTTTATTTTATTTATTTATTTATTTATTTATTATTATTATTGTTATTATTATTATTTATTGATTAGATTATAATTGTTTAATACCTTTTATTTTATTTTTATTTTCATTTTATTTTTATTTTCATTTTATTTTATTTTTATTTTTATTTTTATTTTATTATTTTATTTTATTTTCTTTAAATAAAATTCAAAAAAATATTTTTAAGGAAAAGTTGAAAGTATCAATTTTCCTTGAAAATTAAATTTTTCAAAAAAAATATTTTTGAGGAAAAGTTGAAAGTATCAATTTTCCTTGAAACTAAGCTTTCTAAAAAAATATTTTTGGAGAAAAGTTGAAAGTATCAATTTTTCTCGAAATTAAAGTTTTTTAAAAAATATTTTGAGAAAAGTTGAAAGTATCAATTTTTTCTGTACAAAAGCAATAATTTTTTTTCTTTTTATTTTTTTGAATTTTTTTTATGTTAAATAATCCAACGATGGAGCATCTGTAAGTGAAATAGTAGTTTTCTT